TGGTTTGCTTACCCTAATTTCGTATAATGATTTTGTGGAGCTAAAAAAAGCCAAAATGAATGAAAAACACCAATAATCTTTTAAAGTTGGTAATGGCTAGTCCAGGCCTGCCGAGGGGAAAAAAATAACAGGGAAATTTTAGTGATTTGTCTAATCATGGTTAATGGATTATTATGTTAGTCTTAATGTTATACAAAAATAGTATGAAATATCATTATAAACTGTTTTTCAAAATTGGGTACCGAAAGGACCCGATTATTTGAATTAAATCATTCCAAATAAAATTAATTTTATTTGACGTCGTTTTTCTGCTTAGTTTTTTCCCTCTTATTATTCAAATAACAAACTTGACTGAACTTTGAATTTGGACCAAGCTAAAAATGAAAGGGAAAATATCAAATAACTTACTTCTCCAAAAATTTTGCTTGACCATATGTTTGTTTTTGCCGAGAGTAAACCAACACATACTACAAAAAACCTGATTAGAGTAAGTTGTAAAACGTTGTCCCAGTCGCCAACATCGTTTTTTTAGTCTTATTTGAATAAAAATTAGAACATTCTATGAATTTTTGTCGATTAAACAAAATTAAGTTTGGTTTACCATTATTAATAATATGTTTGAATGATCCCGATTTTAAGACATATATCATTACAAATTAAAATATTTTTATCCAAAAAGCAAAAAACAAAAACACCATTTAAATGAAAAATTAAAACGTTTTATTTTTTTTTTCTGAAATTTTTTTGAACAATTGTAAAACTATAAATTTAAAAACAAACAATATTATGTCGAACTCGACATCAACGACAACTCAAAGTCATAGTTCACTTCCAGCGCATGTTTTTAAAGAGAAATAAACATCAATTTTGATGGTGTTGATTTTTTTTAAGATAAAGTCCATCGTAGAACAATGCAAAGAAGTCTCTGTTGTGAAGATTGATCAATCACTTTCGAGATTGAAAGAATTAGAAAATACTTTGATGAGCAACATTAAACAGAGTTATTATGACTATAACAACCTTTCAAATTATCTATACACGAATTTAGACAGTTCTCTAATTTTATTCGAAGAGAGAATTGAAACCACTCTGAAGATCATTGACTCTGCAACTACGATAATGTCATTGACTGGGCAGTTGAACTCGGTCAATACGCTGATAAAAACATGTTTGTTATATTTGAAGCAGTGTCGTCATGACAAAAAGACTGGTTATGACCATTTAATGGAGTTTTTGATTGACGACAATCTTCCGATACCAGACCAAACCATTACAACACCATTAAATAATACAACGAACAATATTGTAACTGAAATAAGACAAATGTTATTGTAGATAACAACGAAGTTGAAGTATTTTTAAACAACACCGTTCAACAAGATGATTTTACTGACACCCAACAACCAGAAGAAGAAATGAGTGAATCAAGTGTTGATATGGAAGAAATTGATATCACAGCAAATCGAGACAAACAGATAAAAGAATCCCTCAAAGATGAAGACTTTGTTTGTACTGGTCTCTGGGATTACCTTGAGGAACACAAAAAGGAAGATATACACAGCGAAGTCATTACTCACCTTCTTCGATTCATGAGGTTGAAACGAAACTTAACAGCTTCAAATCGCAGTTAAGTTTGTATTCAAATGTTCCGCCTTTATGAATACATGAAGAAAAAACTGCACTGGAATCATTTACTTTTGTATCAAGTCTTACTTCTGCATATCCCAAGGATGTATGGAAAAGGCAGATTTGTCTTGTAATAAAAGCTCCTGGAAGTTCAGGAAGAAGTCGAGTTTTTTCCGAGGAAGAGAAAAGAAAAATTATCATCTTCATTAAAATACGGGAAGACGCTAAAGATCCAGCTGGATATCCAGAGTTGCTTTTTGTACTAACAACTTTGGGGAGAGAGGATATTGACCTCAAAATGTTGTACACTTCCGTGAACAAAATGGCCAAATTATCCACCATAAAAGCGGAGCCAATAGAAGAGGAAAGAGTGGAGATACAAACAACAGAGATTGTTGCGTATTTTGAGTTTCTCTCCAAGTACGCCAATAACATTCCAGTAAGTTTCATATTCAATTGTGATGAATCAGGATTCCAAAGGTGGGTAAATAAAATGACAAGAACGGTCATTCTTTTAAATAGACCAAGATCTGGTGTTGTCAAAGTACCCATTAGATGCGCAGGAAGTCGAACAACATTGATGGCAGCAAGTTGTATGGATGGCACAGCACTGAAACCTTTTTTCATTATACCAACAGAAAGTGTTGAGAAGGAGCTTTTGGAATTGGGTTTGACAAACAATAAAGCGTGCCTGAAGTACACAAAAAAGCGTTCATGACAAATCAATTATTTGAAGAGTGGATCCGAAGTGTTTTTATTCCCGAGTTGCTTGAAAAAAGAAGAAAACATGGTTATAGCGGTATGTCAATTCTTGTAATGGATGGTTACGGTTCTCATCTTGGGGTAGGCGCTGTAGAAATGTTGACAGAGAATAACGTCAAAATAATACTACTCCCCCACACTCATCTCATTTGTTGCAAATGTGTGATGTGGGGATATCTGGAAATCAGAAACGTGCATGTACAACTGATAAATCGTTGATGAATGACACATATGGTCACCTTTCCTATATATCTGTACAAATTATGTCGATTGTCAACTCGTGGGAAAGAGTGACCACATCAAAGAATGTAGTGCCTTCCTTTATTGCATGTGGGTTAGTACTCAAAACTTGAGTACAGTATGTGAAGTGGTGCCATCTTGATGCACGAAGCTGAATTGCTTTTTCGAGCAGCAAGGAATTGACAGATGCATGAATGAGATGTCAAATGAAGAAGGCGATAATATCGACAATGTCAAAAAGGAAATATACAAAACTTTAAGAAAAAACGCAAGAGATTGTGCCAACTCGCAATTAGAAACCAAGTGTGGAATAATTTTGTTTAAAAGGAAAAGAGTTAAATTGCTCTAGTTCAACAAAACAATTGTTTACGAGTGATATTTTGTTTGCTCTTTAGTTTAAAAAATCAACGAGTAAAAGATAATGAAAAACTCTTTTTTTTATTTTATGATGATTATTCAAAATAGTTTTTCGTTAGTTAAAATGTGTTAATTTACTTTATATGTTAATTGTAGTATATGGTAGTATAGTTTTATAGTTAAATAATTACACATAATATAATCTATATTATTATAACTTTGAAACCATACTTATAATTAACCTAAAAAAACTCTAAGGGTTTAACTGATTCTTCAGATAAAAAATACAAGGTCTGTTTATTATCGAATCAACCATTGACTTATCTTATAGGAATTGCGCTCTTCTGGTATATACATCTCTTTAATATTCGTTGCAACTATGGTGCTAGAGGTTTGTTTTATGCACATTAACATCCAACTGTTTATTTTTTTCAATTTGTGTGTTTGAAACAGTCATTTTAACTAACGTTCAGTTCGTCTAACTTATTATGACATGCATGTTAATTCTACTAAAAGTGTTAGAAGTGACCACACACACTTGACTGATTCATTTCTTATGTGTGTCATTTTAAAGGGTTTTTGGATTGCTCTTCTGAAAAGAAGGAAACGAGAACTAAATAAGTTAATGATTATTTTCTAAGTTTTTTAATGTTTTGAAAAAAAATAATTTAAAATAAAAACGAAATTAAGAACATTTTTGTTGTTTCTACCATGGCGGTTATTGAATATATCGTGGAATGATTCCACACAAAAGAGAATATTCTGGGCGGGACAACGTTTTACAACTTACTCTATTTGTTTATTTTTCTCTGACAAGAAAACTTTGCACCAAAAATAAAACAGCTTATTTTAATCTGGTCTTTGGTTTGTGATTTGGTAACTGGTTTTTCTTCTATCTGTAATTCATATTTGTTTTTTATTCAAAATCTATTTTTAGAATTTTGTTTTATTTTTTATTGTATCTATATTCATGATAAATATTATTATCAGTTATAATACACAAATTTAATAACATTCTGTTGATTTTAGTTTTATTATAATTACAATTGAACCTTTCGGCTAATTAAATTGCTTGATTTTGTAAAAGACAAGTTTTTTTTTAATTAATTTACTTTTTTGGGAGTGTTTATAAAGTCTGTATTCTATTTAATGATATTAAGTTTTTACTATAATAGATAGTAACAGTATTATGATTTATAATATAAATAAAGTGGTTTTTCGAAAAATGGTTTGTTTTTGTTTTTTTTATTAAAGTGTGCTAAAAATAACGAAAAACAAAATTGCTTGACAACTGAAAAATTATAAAGCCATAATGAATGAAAAACCAACGTTGAAATGAGTATACGAACAAATAAACGAGTCAACTAATTTATTCAAAATGGATAAAATGTCAATTTTGATTGAGCAGACATGTCAAATTATCATTTGAGTCGAATTGAAAACGACAACAAGCGATTTGGAAAAAAGTCAATGCTCAAGATTTGTTTATCATTTGTTTTAATTAATGAAAATTTTATTAATAGTTAATGGTTTTTAATTAGCGATATTGAGTATAGTTAATTATAGTTTAATATTTTCGGTCTGGTTCTTTTCTTTGTTATATTTTTAGAATATTGCTAAATAAGAAACAGACTTTACAATTGTAATTGTTTTTTAAATTAAATGAAACCAATATAATATTTTATTGTTTCTGGTATATCAACGGCTAAAAATAGCCGATGACGTGGTAATTTTTTCCTTGATTTTTAGGCTAAAAATCAATTCGCCATTTTTGGCAAATTGCATCAACTATAAACCATAAATCAAAAACCTAAAATTACAATTAATAATAACAGTTTATAATTACCAACCAATAATAATTATTTAATAAATAAACTAAATAAATATAATTATCACGTTTTTATATAAATATGTCAATTACAAAAAAATAATTAACTGATTTCCCTGTTTTGTGACAATTTTATTTTTAATCTACAAAGATCTATATTGATAAGATCACTTGATAATTCAAATAAATGACAATTCTATCAAGTCATGACCTTGAAATAATATCCCAATTTTTGAATAACTTCGACGATTACAAAAATCTCACAATGGTATGCAAAAAGTTCACGATGCTAACCAACCCCTATTCCATTAACACAATCAACGCTTTCAACTCAAATTTCTTATTTCCACATTCACCACCAAACAAAACTCAACCGAATTCACAATTAAAAATAAATATGAGTTCCAACATAAAAACTGAAATCCCAAAAATAGAAAACAGCAACCCAAAATTTGCACATCAAACAACAGACAACCCAAAATATCTTATACCAACCAACTTGGGTCAAAAATTGGAAAAGTCAAAAAACGACAAAGACGAAGAAATTTTCGAGTTGACAACAAACTTAATTAACTCAACTCAACAAACAACAATAATTGATTTAACACAAACAAACGGTGTAGACACAAAATCGGGCAGTTTTACAATAACGAAACCCTGTTATACCCTAAATTCTCCCGAGTTAAAGAACAACCCCAATTTGTTTATTTATGTTGTCCAGTCACACATCCAAAAAATTCCAAAGAGTTGTTTTGAGAATTGTGTTAATCTGAAGAACATTGCTCTTTCGTGCAATTTGACTAAAATATGTGACTTTGCCTTTTGTGGTTGTAAAAGTATCGAACGCCTTTGTTTCCCAACGAAAGTGCAGAGCATTGGGTCAAACTGCTTTATGGACTGTATCTCCCTCAGAAGTGTGACTTTGCCTGTATCTCTCACACAGATCAAAAAGTGTGCATTTTGCAATTGTAAAAAGATGACAAGACTGAAATTGTCTGACCGAATAGTCGATATTGGAAACAATGCATTCAAAGACTGCAGACGACTCAAAGAAGTTGTTCTCCCACCAAATCTCAATCAGGTCAGTTCACACTGCTTCGAAAATTGTGAACAACTCAGTTTTGTCTATCTTCCTTTAAACATCAATTTGCTTCAGAAGAAAGCGTTTGCAGGCTGCAAAAGTCTTCAACTTGTTGCGATCGATGGGAAAGATGTCAAACTCCAACAAGAGTGT